TACTAATATCACAAAGTCTTGAAAGTGTAGCCTCATAAGTCTTGTAATCTGGTAGTGTTAGTCCTCCAATTTTGTCTTCTTTTTCAAAGCTCTTTGGCTATTCTAGGAGCTTTACATTTCCATATGAATTTTAGCATTAGCTTGCCAATTTGTACAGACAAGTCTGGTGGGATTTTTATCTGTAAATCAATTTGGGGAGAATTGACATCTTAACAATATTGAATCTTCTGATCCATGAACGCTTTATGTCTCTTCATGTATTTAGGTGTTCTTTAATTTTTCCCAGGAATATTTTATAGTTTTCAGTGTGTAAGCCTTTTACATCTCTTCAGACTTTTCTAAGTATTTTATACTTTTGATGCTATTATAAGTAATATTTTTTTAAATTTCAATTTCTAATTGTTTAGTGCTAGGTATTAGAGATAAATTAATTTTTTGTATATTGATCTTTTTCCTGCAAACTTGATAAACTCGTTTATTACTTCTAGTAACCTTTTTATAGATTCCATCAGGTTTTCTCCATAGATGATCATTTTATCTGCAAATAAAGATAGTTTTGCTTCTTCCTTTCCATTTTGAATACCTTTTCTTTCTTTTTCTTGCTGTATTGCACTGACTGGAACCTTCAGTGCACTATCAAATAGAAGTAATGAGAGAAGACTTCCTTTCCTTTGTCCTGATCTTGGAGAGAAAGCATTTGTCTTTCACTATTAAATATGGTGTTCGGGATTTTTCTGTAGAAGTCTCTTATCAAGATGAAGTTTCCTTCTGTCCCAGTTTGCCAAGGGCTTCTTTTTTTTTAAATTGGTAATCAGGAATGGATGTTAGATTTGTCAGATACTTGTTCTCCATCTATTACAATGATTGTATAATTTTTTTAGTTTATTAACTTGGGTAAATTACATTGATTTTCAAATATAAACCAATCTTGCAATCCTGAGATAAACCCCACTTCATAATGTAGCTAGCATCTTTTCATATATTGTTGGATTTGATATAGTAAAATTTTGTTTAGAAGTTTGCATCTGTGCTCATGAGAGATATTGGTCTGTTGTTTTCTTTTCTTGTAATGTCTTTGTCTAGTTTGGATAAAGCAAAAGTTGGCCTTAAAAATGAGTTGGGAAGTTTTCCCTTCTCTTCAGTTCTTTGGTAGAGTGTGTGTAGAATTGGCATTATTTCTTCCTTAAATGTTTGGTAGAATTCACCAGTGAAGCATGTGGGTTTGAAGCTTTCTATGTGAGAAGGTTGTAAACTACACACTCTATTTCTTTAATAGTGCTATTTAAGTTACATATTTATTTTTGAGTAGTTTATGTCTTTAAGGACTCTGTCCATTTCATTTTGAATTTATTGACATGAATTAGTTTATAATATTCCCTTATCATCCTTTGAATATATGTAGAATTTGTATTGATGTCACCCCTCTCGTTTCTGTTATTGATAATTTGTGTCTTCTCTTGTCTTTTCTTGATCAATATGGTTAGAGGTATATCAATTTTATTTACCTTCTCTAAAAACTGTCTTTTCATTTCACTGACCTATTTTTCTGTTTTCCATTTTATTTCTGCCTTGATCTTTATTATGCTATTTATTCTCCTTACTCAGTGATTAATTTTCTTTTTCTAGTTTCTTAAAAGTGGACGCTGGGGAAGCTGAACACTGTGTTAGCAACATCCCACATGTTGACATGTTTTCAGTTTCAGTCAGTAAAAAACATAGTTCTTAATTTCCCTTTTGCTTTATTTTACCCACAGGGTTACTTAGAAATGTATTGTTTCGTTTCCAAATATTTGGAGATTTTTCAAATCTGTTAATTTCTAATTTAATTCCATTGTGGTCACAGAACATGTGTTGAATAACTGAAATCCTTTTAAACTTATTGAGTCTTGTTTTATATCCATGTATTCTGGTAATAGATGAGAATATGGTCTATTTTGGTAAATATTATGTGTCTACTTGAAAAAAACGTGTATTCTGATTTTGGGTGATCTATAAATATCAATTAGATCAAGTAGGTTGATAGTGTTCAAGTCGGGTATAATATCTTTACTGATTTTTTATATTTTTTTTCTGTCAATTATTGAGAGAGGGGTATTGAAATCTCCAACTATAATTGTGTATGTATTTGTTTCTCTTTGCCATTCTCCTTAATCTATTTTGAAGTTCTTTTATCAGATGCATAAATATTTAGGTTATGTCTTTTTTATTAGTTGACATTTCTATCATGATGGAATAACCTCCTTTATCCTTGGTAATATTCTTTGCTGAAATTGACTTTGTCTTATAGTAATATAACCACTCAAGGTCTATTTTGATTAGTGTTAGCATAGCATAATTTTTTCCATACTTTTAACCTACTTGTATCTTTCTGTTGAAGATCATTCTTGTAGACAGCATGTAGTTTGGGCTTGTGCTTTTTTATCTGGTGTGACAACTCTATCTTTTAATTAGGGTGATTATACCTTTTATATTTAATGTAAGTATATATATGATTACATTTAAAGCTACTGTCTAATATTTTCTATGTGTCCCATCTGTTCTTTGTTTCTTTTTTTTTTTTTTTTCTTTTTCTTCCTGCTTTTGGATTGACTGAGTACATTTTATTATTTTATTTGTTGACTAATTAGTTACAACTCAGGTTTTGTTATTATAGTAGTTGCTTAATGGTTTGTAGTGTTCATCTTTAACTTATCACAGTCTATCTTCATATTATATTATATGATTGCGTGATTGGTATAAGAACCTTACAATACATAGTATACTGCCATTTTCCCCCTCCTGGCCTTTGTGCTATTGTTTTCATACATTTTACTTTTTTTTTTAATAAAGATTTTATTTATTGATTTGATAGAGAGAGACAGCCAGAGAGGGAACACAAGCAGGGGGAGTGGGAGAGGGAGAAGCAGGCTTCCTGCTGAGCAGGGAGCCCGACGCGGGGCTTGATCCCAGGTCCCTGGGATCGTGACCTGAGCCGAAGGCAGACGCTTAATGACTGAGCCACCCAGGTGCCCCTACTTTTACTTATAAACATCACACCATATTATGTTTTTTGTTTAACCAATAAGTTAACTCTCTTATTGAAGTATAGTTGATGTAATATTAAATTAGTTTCAGATGTACAACATAGTGATTCAACAATTACATACATTTTGAAATGCTAACCACAATAAATGTATTACAGTATTATTGACTGTATTCCCTACATTATACTTTTCATCCGGTGACTTATTTATTTTGTAACTGGAAGTTTGTACCTCTTAATCCTTTTCAGCTATTTTGACCATATCCCCATCCTCTCTGCTTTAGCAACCACCAGTTTGTTCTCCATATTTATGAGTGTGTTTCTCTCTTTGTTGTTGTTGTTGTTTGTTCATTTGTTGTTTGTTTTTTTTTTAAAGATTCTACATATAAGTGAAATCACATTGTATTTGGATATTTAAATAGTAAGAAAAATCTTATATATTTACCTATGTAGTTACCAGTTCTACTGTTCCTCATTCTTTTATGTGGATCCACATTTCCATCTGGTATCATTTTCCTTCCACTTAAAAATATTTCCTTTAGCATTTCTACAGTGTAAGTCTACTAGTGATGAATTCTTTCAGCTTTTGCAAGTCTCAGATAGTCTTTGTTTTGCTTTTGCTTTTGAGAGATCTGAATATAGAATATTAGGTTGATAGTTGTTGGGTCCCCTCTCCTCTTCACTGCTTTAAAGACTGAGTTCCATTATTTCCAACAAGAAATATGTTGTCATTATTATCTTTGTTTCTCTATATGTTGTGTGTGTTGTTTTTTCCTTTGGCTGCTTTTAAGATGTTCTCTTTATTGATGGTTTTGAGCAGTTTGATTATGATGTGCATTCATGTAGTTTTGTACATGTTTCTTTTTTTTTTTTTTAAGATTTTTTATTTATTTATTTGACACAGAGAGACACAGCGAGAAAGGGAACACAAGCAGGGGGAGTGCGAGAGAGAGAAGCAGGCTTCCCGCCAAACAGGGAGCCCGATGCGGGGCTCGATCCCAGGGCCCTGGGATCATGACCTGAGCTGAAGACAGACGCTTAACGACTGAGCCACCTAGGCACCCCAATTGTCCATGTTTCTTGTGCTTAGAGTTTATTGACCTTCTCGGTTTTGTGGGTTTATTGGGTTTGCCTGTTTGGGAAATTTTAGGCTATTATTTTTTCAAAATGTCTTCTATTTCCTCTCCTTCATTCACTCTAAGTACACATATATTAGGCCACTTGAAGTTGTTGTACAACTCACTGAGTTAAGTAGAGGCATGGGTTTTTTAGTCTGGGTTTTTTTTAACATATGAAATACAGTTATAACTTTTTTTAAAAGATTTATTTATTAGAGAGAGAGCATGAGCGGGTGGGGCAGAGGGAGAGGGAGAGGGAGAGAGAATCTCAAGCAGACTCCACGCTGAGCTAGGAGCCCAGTGTGGGGCTTGATCTCACGACCCTGAGATCATGACCTGAGCTGAAACCAAGAGTCAGATGTTTAAATGACTGCGCCACCCAGGCACCCCAGTTACAACAACTTTTTAAATGTCCTTGTCTGCTAATGGTAATATCTGTGTAGATTATGGGTCAGTTTTGATTGATTGCTTTCTATCTTCAGTATGGGTCATATTTCAGACTTACTCAGACTCTTCTTAGAAGTCTACCCTCTTCCTGTGTGCTCTCAACCCAGAGTGAGACTTTTGGGGTGGAAGGAGATACTTCTGAACTAAACTACAGATCAGCGTCACCCAGTTCTCATCTTTATCTGATTCTAGGCACACCATCCCCCCTACCATCCTTACCTTTCTGTTGGACACCTCGGTCCTTCTGTTTACTTACAATACTCAAGAGCAGCAATTGGCCAACTGGTCCCTACCCAAACATCCAGGCCACATGCCTCAAGAATTCCTTTTTGCACAGCCCTGTGATGCCCTTGGCATGCCTACTCAAGTAAGTCCTTTAGCACTAATTTAATTCTCTGTGTTTCCATTTATAGGATTTTACCTAGCCATATGGCCTGCTGTCTCTGCCAATTCAAAAATAATATTGAGGTTGTCTGCAAGACAGTCAAGCTGCATTGTGACAGTGAATGTCTGACAAATGCCACACATTGTGGTGAGTCTGAATTGCCTCATGATAAATTTTTTAATTTTTATTTTATTTATGTTTTTTTATTTTTAATCAACAATGATAAAATTTTTAACTAATGATGTCATTGCATTATTTTTATTCATTCAGAGTCAAATCCCTAAATCTCTCTTTTTTAAAAAAAGATTTATTTATTTATTTTGAGAGAGAGAGAGCACGTGAGTCGAGGGAGGGGCAGAGGGAGAGAATCTCAAGCAGACTCCCTGCTGAGTGTGGAGCCCAACGTGGGGCTCGATCCCGTGACCTTGAGATCATGACCTGAGCCAAAACCAAGAGTTGTATGCTTGAGCCACCCAAACACTCCTCAGATCTCTAAATTTCTAAGAACTATTCTTTTGTTAAAAGTCAGATTCTCAGTTATGTTATTAAATTAATTACCCCCAAATGAAAACTAGTTCATATAGTGCATCACAGTTTGTAAACTGATTTTTTAAAAATATTTTATTTATTTATTTAATTGAGAGAGAGAGAGAGACAGCGTGAGGGGGAACACAAGTAGGGGGAGTGGGAGAGGGAGAAGCAGGCTTCCGGCTGAGCAGGGAGCCTGATGCGGGGCTCGATCCCAGGACCCCAGGATCATGACCTGAGCCAGAGGCAGTCGCTTAACCAACTGAGCCACCCAGACGCCCCTGTAAACTGATTTTATATGCATTAGATCTCAGGTGCCCTTTGTCCTATAGGACAGGTAAAGATACATTTTTGTTTATTTTATTTTTACAAGTAATATAAGAGTAAAAGTAATGCTGATTTATAAAAAAAGTTTTATTCAGAGGCTGAGACTTTCTGTTCCCTAACCAGAAGCTGCTACCTTCTAATGGATAGAGAGGGCTCTTCTATTCTTGGATTGTCCAACTCTGAACTTGTTCTGAATCTTAAGCTTTTCTGTCCAAAAACACTCAGGGGCTTTTAAGAATTTTTCTGTATACTATGTTTTATTGGCACTAACTTGATGACTTCCAAAATGTGCTTTTGCCCTTGGATAGATGGAATACGGGTCCTTATCAATGATCTAGGGTACATCAGAAATAGTACTTTGCTACTTCTGTAAGTACAGTGTTGCTTATTTTTCAAAACAATTTTTTACCAATTATATTGCTCCCTTCTCCCTTAGAGGTGGAAAGAATAGGCATGTTTAATCTCCTTTTACAGGTGAGGAAAACTGTGATCAGAGGTGTTAAGGGCTGTAGCCTAGCACTCAAGTGTCTCATTTTGCACTCTCTGCAAGCCTGTTGCTCCTCCTTTCCCGTGACCTCCTCTGACCCTCACCACCACCACTAAAAATACTTCCAATTCTTCTGGAAAAGAAACCCAGCAGCACAATGCTGTGCAGTCTACACAAGCTGTACACTTGACCTTCAGGTAGTTGGAAGCTCTGGACAGTTCCGTAAATAAAGCTGGAAATATTAGAAATGAAAGTGAAGTAGGCATCTGGCAAAAGATTCTTTATCCCTTCCGCATTTTAAAACCTCAAGTATCATTCCATTGATTTATTGAACATTCCACATTGACCTATCTCTCACACCTGGGAAATCTCTTCACCTAGACCCCAGATCCCTGCCCAAATGTAAGCAAAGAGCCAGGGTGGACATAGTGGGTTTTTTTCTGTTTAGAGCTTATGTTATGTGAGCTGCAATATACGGGAGCAGGGACCAAGCAAAGGAATTGGTGGGTGGGTAGAGAGGGCATGTCCAGATGAGGACCTGCTAACAGTGGGTGTTGTCATGGGCATCTGCGATGGCAGCAAGAACACAAGCATGCTGAAGAGTGGAAGGAGGAAGCATCTGAAGCAGGACAGGATGGGGTATATGAATGCCAGGAGTCACATTAGATCTGCACACAGTTTAGCTGAGTGTCTTCCAGCCTTGACTTTTTTTGAGTACTGCACAATCGAGCCTTGGGGACCCATGGAATAATCCCAAATACAGTTATTCACACTATGGAAGGTTCTGAGTACATAGCTGCTTTTTCAAAAAATACCCTTTTCTCCTTTTGTTGTTGCCAATCATAGATTCAAGTTTGAGTTTGTCTCCTCTCTAAATGGTACTCAAATATTTGTTGGTTCTTAATTTATTTGGGATGTATGACTGTGGACTGACAAAAAGCTGTACTATCAGTCTTTCATTGTCAAAACTAGTCTCTTTTTTGTTGACAGATGAAGAAGTATCTATAAGGAGTGCAGAAGGATCATTCATGAAGGTATTGAAATCCCGGAAGAAGAGCACCAGTACTGAGCTGACAATTGAGCCAGAGAAGCCATCCTCAGATAAAAATCACTTCAGTTTAGCCTTTATGAATGAGCAGCTAGACTTTAATGATGAAAGTGATGTTATTAGTGCGCTGAATTACATATTGCCTTATTTCTCAGAGGGAAATCTAGAAGATGTAGAATCAACATTATTACCATTCATTAAACTTCTGTTTTCAAATGTGCAAGACGGAGACAAGCCCATGGGTCCCTTGACAAACAACACAGGGAACCCTTTTCTTAAACCTGGACCCAACAGTTCAACTTACAAAAATAAACTGAGGAAACTCCATTTTCTAGAAAATTTGTTAGATGCAGAAATTCAAGAAAAAATTGATGAGGTGAAAAAGAAAGAAAAAACTGCCATGCTTATACGTTCCGGCCTTTTCGGTCCCAAATTCAAACGCCAAATCTTTCCAAAGAAATTGGAAACTGCCCAAGCACAGGAAAAGAGCCTCACCAAGGCTGAGAGTGTAGGGAAAAAGTTTCTGAGAGTAAAGCAGGTTATCAAGGGCCCAAAGGGCCTACAGAAAAGGTACCTCAAACAAAGGCGCAATCAGAGAAACCAGGGGAAACAGAATGCCCAGCCATTTGTGGAGAATATGGCCAAAGAAAGAAGGCTCAGTAGACCGTCCCCAAGGGAGCTGGAGCAGCTTCACATGGCGCAGAGGCCCAGGAAATTAGTGGGAGACTCCTTTAATACGGAGCCTTCATTCATAAAGGAGCACAAGGCAGCAGTCTCTTCTTTTCTGAAACAGTACTCCTTGGGCAGGCCTTCTGCCTCCACTCCTCCAAAATCCCTACCTGAGGTGAAAAACAAATCAAAAGCCTTAACCGACACCATTTTTGTTTTAGAGGATGCAAATGCTAGAGTTAGGAATATGAAGGCTTCTAAACCAGTCTCACATTCCAGAAAAAAGTACCTCTTTCATAAAACTCGCTCGCGTGGGGTCCACAGAGCACCCAAGGCCAAGCTGAGTCGAAAATTCAGAAAGGGAAGTCCTATCAGTAATAGGCTGATGCTTGCAAAGAGGCCTCCGTTCTCTGCCATCAGGAGCCTCATAAATTCCCCTTCACGGGAGGCTTTTCCATCTTCAGGAGAACTGAGTTCTCAGGAAAATCCTTTTCCAGAATTACTTATTCTTTCAGAACCTTTTAGAGAAAACACTACTATAGAAAACACTACTGCACAGAATGTTTTTGAGAAACCTGTTTCTACAAGAAACATGACTGTGCCAGAACAAACCCTCCCTGCATTCAGGAACCATAAGAATCTTTCCAGTGCATATTCTGTGGCCACCACAGGCAACTTTATGTCAACTGTTAAACAAACCAATGAATCACGACGGATATACCACAGCGTGGGCACTGGATTGCCCCCGAAGCCCACAGGCTTCACTGGGTCGAAGCTCTCAGCCCCAGGTGACCTCTTTGAAATTCAGCTAAACCAGCAGCTATGGTCCCTCATCCCGAACAACGACGTGAGAAGGCTCATTTCTCACGTTATCCGGACTTTGAAAATGGACTGCTCTGAGAGCCACGTGCAACTGGCCTGTGCCAAGCTCATCTCCAGAACAGGCCTCCTGATGAAGCTTCTCAGTGAGCAGCAAGAAGTAAAGGTGTCCAAGGCAGAGTGGGATACGGACCAATGGAAGACTGAGAACTACATCAATGAGAGCACAGGAGTCCAGAGTGAACAGAAAGGGCAGGAGTCCAGTGAGGTGAGGACAACTCCTAAAACATGGGATCTGGACTTTGAGTCAGTTTAGGACGTGCCATGAAAGCACCCAAGCACATAGGCCAGGGGGCTCCTAGTCTGGGTCTTGTCTTGGCCAGGTAACGTTGGCTAAGACAGTGATCTGCCACTTTGCTCATTTAGAGAACAGTGCCACTATCCCCAGGGTAGATGAGAAGGGGACCTAACATACAAGATAGATAAAATTTTGAAGAAAATGCTAATGGTAAGATTACATAACACATTAGATTTGGTGTGTTCCTTAAGAACCTGTAAGCCACTCATCTGAAAGAATGGGGTCTATTTTAGAGTAGCTGAAGAATAGCTAGCTTTCATCTTGTCTCTTTGTTTTCTAAAAAAAATTATTCTTTATTTTTTTAGCTCACAAAAGAAGTTCCAGGTTATGGCTATAACAACAAACTCATCTTGGCAATATCTGTGACTGTAGTAGTGATGATTTTGATTATAGTTTTCTGTCTCATCGAGGTAAGGACAACTGTTAATTTAGATTTCCAGAGTATCTTCTATCTTTATAATAGATTCAGAACCCACAAACTGAAAATCAAAGCCACTTTCCCACCTACTACTACTTGATGCTCCTCTTCAGTCGGGAGGACTGAGATATGCTTTGTTCTCTTTTTGCAAAGTATATTCCAGGGAATTTTAAAGGAACCCCACTGACAGGAGATCTGTGGATTGTAACCAAGGCAACAAGCCATTAGACTGTTCTGAGACATTAAGTTTAGGAAGGCCAGAGTTGACATGATAGTAACATTTCTTCAACTCAAAATTATGTTGATTAGATGTACTCACCAGTGACTCTCAGACAACCACTGATTTCTTTCCTTGGCTGAAATGATGAGAGAGAGAGTCTCCACCCTCCTGGAGCTATCAGTCATCCTAGAAGAAAGGACATGGCTTACAGATAAGAATGTCATCTTGTTGATTAATTAGATTTACTTAGCAGCTTTCTCCTCCACTGTGAAAGGTGTTATGTGACTAGGTTCAGTTAAAACACTGCAGCTAAAATCCTGCATCAGACTCCTCCAAAGCGTGTCATATTTATAGTCGCCTGTTCCTGGAGCTTGTCTGTTTACCTTTTCTTCAATCTTATAATGACTTCTTACTTTTCCCAACAGGCAGGTGCTAACATTTTTAAAAGAATGATTTAACAAGTTGACAGTCTTGACTCTATCCTACCCAACCAACCTAATTTGCCTTATCTACCTTTTCTACTGCTGTGACAGGCCTCCATTCTAACCAAAGCAGCCCCTCACCACACCCTAGTCACCCCATGCCCATTCCTGTTTCTGTCGGTGACTTTGCCCATCTGAAATTCCCTTAATCTGCTCTGCCTGTGGCAGTACCAGGAATCTCTCAAAAGCCAACTGAAGTTCATCTTTCTCCATAAAGCCTTCCCTGAATACTCCAGCGCTCGTGGTCCTAGTCCTTCTGTGAGATTTGTCACCATTTCTTAGGGTCTACAGTGATGCATTCCCCTCCCCTGATAACAAAAATAAGGTAAACAATTTTTTAAAAGGCAGTTCCCCAAGAGAGAAACACCAAGGTCAACACATGGAGCAGAGCAGAGATATGTAAGGATCAAGTGGCTTCCTGGTTTATCAGACTTGAGTAAAACCTGACTGGATATATTAACTGTTAAAGAGAAACATGTCTGTCTTCAGGAAGGTTGGTCAGTGGTAAAAACATAGAAATGGTGAAGAAGAGCCCAATATGGGCAGTGCCCATCCTAGGCTTGCCCAAGAGTAGGGACGGCACCTCAGGCAGCAGATGAAAGTCAGGCCCACTAGTGAGGCTGTGCCTGTGGGGGAGATGGATGGATCTGGCTACTTCAGTCCTTTCCATGAAACACTGGATTCAGCTGGTTACTTTCCTTCTAATTTCTCTTCTCACCAAGTAGCCTTCTGATTGTGCTTCAGTGTGCCACGGAGGCCTGTGTCCACGGGAGGTAATTCCCAATCATGTAGACACAGATGCCCTATCTGTGGAACAGATACGTTTCTCATTGTCAAGTCATAACCTGGCATTCTGATTTTGATCAATCCTGGGGCATTGATAAAGTGAGATTGCCTCTGTAGGAAGAAGTGAGTTCGCTTTTGATGAGGACAGAGTCTGATTTCTGAGCCCAGGAGGGTAGGAACTGGCGTGGAGTCAGCTTACCAAGGTCTCTGGGAAGATAAATCATTGGCCATTGTCCAGATAGTACCCTCTGCATCTTCAGGTGGCATGTGGCCTTTGGTTTTTAGGGAAGTTCTATAAATTCCTATTGCTGTTTTTAATTTCTTAACCTTGTGTTCGTATTTATGTGGTTTCATTATTTTGCCTCCCTACTTTGATGGTAAGCTTTTCGAGGACAGAGACCATGCAGTGTTTTTCCTTTAGTAGACAATAATAGTGTTCATAGGAAGAGAGATGAGGCATTATGTCAATTTCACAATGAGGAATAAGGCAGCCTAATATTTATTTGAAGTAGCATACAGAGTCCAGCAATAGACAGACCCATGTGTTATTAGGACTTCTGAAATGTTACCTTTTAGTATTCAAACCAGCGGAAGAAAATAAATGAATGGTAAGAGAACAACTGCGTCATTATTTGGGAGGAAAATAACAGCAGATACCCATTCCTCACCTTAAAACATATTTCAGTAAATGTAAAAAAAGAAAAGAACCCAGAAAACTATTAGAAGAAAACAGAAGCAATATTTTCATCATCTGGTGGTGGGAAAGAGCTTTCTGACCTGACACCACAGGCAGAAACCTTTGATAGATTTGATCATCCATCCAATGGTGTCTGTGATACCATTAGCAAACTTGGCCCTGGTGTATGCCAAGCATAGGAAGAAGAATTTTCCATATCTGATTTAATCCCCACAATCCTGTGATGACGATAGTACCATCCCTCTTTGATAACTAAAAGAGGATGAGCTGAAGGTCCCAGTGGCAAAACCCAAAGCAGAACCCGTTCTGCCTGACTGCAGACCCTGTGCTCTGGTTCCACGTGTTCTGTCTCCTTAAAGATGAAAACACTGGCAAATATTTGAAGCACTGAAATTCAATGAAAGCCCCTGAAAGGATTACTGTATTTACTATGAAGACAGTTTTATAAATCAATAGGAAGACCAACAATCCAGGGAGGGTGAAGGGGGCAAGGACTATGAATGATGGGCAAGGACCTATCTGCCAGTCCTCTCCTCACGCCTTCTGGGATGTGGGTTTTGTTAACGAGGCCTTTGTTGACTCTATACTGTTTTCTTCTATGCCCTTATAACGTTTGTTGTTATTTATAGTTTTTAATATGTATAGAATCTGTTTTGTTTTTTGGTATGGTTGAGGTAAGGGATCTAACTTTTTTTTCTCCCTACGTAAAGGTCCAGTTACTTTAAAATCTTTTATTGAATGGTTCATTCATTCTTCACTGATCTAAAATACTATTTTTATCTGGACTCTATCAATCCAGTTTTCTTTCCCTGTACCAGTCTCACACTATGTACTTAATCCCAGTTGCCTTATAATAACATATTTTGATGTCTGGTAGGGTAAGCTCCTGCTCTTTGGTCTTCTTTTTCATACATTTCATAGCTAGGCTTGCATATTTTCGCCACCAAATGTCAGCTGGCCAGTTTTTGTTAAAAAAAAACACAAAACAACTATCTTGAGATTTGAATAGGATTGTTTTGAATTTGTAGGTTATTTTGAGGAGAACTGACATCTTTGCAATATTCTAGGAACACGGTATCTCACATCATATATTCATTTCTTCTTAATGTCCTTCAGGAGAGTTTTAATATTTTCATCTCGTCTTACCCATTCTTTGCTATAAGTTTTTTCCTAGGTACTTTATGCCTTTTATTGATATTGTAAACGAGATCATTCTTCCATTTGTTGATTAGTTATTTGCGGAAGGTAGGAAAGCTATTGTGGTTTGCATGCTGAGCTCTTGATTTTGTATCTAGCCATCTTATTGACTTCTCATACTTCAGTAAAATTTTAGTTGATTCTCTTGGGCCTTTTAGGTTGTGCATAATTTCATATGCAAATATGTTTTGTTTCTTCCTTTCCAATACTTCATTTTTCCTATTGCACTGATTAGGACCTCATCAACAATGATGAATAATAGCAGGAATAATAGGCATCCCACTCTTGTCCTTGACTTTAAACAATGCTGCTGCTTAGGTTTCTAGTAGATACTTATATCTTCTTTTCCTACCTCTAAGAATTTTTATTAGGCATGACCTGTTGAATGTCATCTAAAACCGTCAATAAGATGTATTGCCAACTACACACAAGATCCCAAGTTAGGTACAGTGGAAGAGTCAAAGGACTATTAAGCAAACCGAATTCCTGTCCTCAAAAAAGTTATCATCTCACTGGCTAGATAAGACTTAAAATACAAAGGAATGAATAAAGATTTGGAGGCAGTGGTCATCAAGATGGGTAACTGTGATCACGTTTTCTTCCAAAACAGATTTATTCTCACAGAAGAGCATCCAAGGAAGGTAAAGAAGGAAGCTCAAGGTAAATATGAGTCTGACAATTGTTAAAGTAGAATTTTAGAACTAGATTTTAGAACTCCTCTCTATTTCAATCCCCTTGTTTTACGCCCAGGACACCACCAAAGGCAGAAAGAATACTTATTTGGCCTAATGCTCTGCCTGGATCCAGCAAAATTAGCTCCCCAGCCAAACCTGAGTTAGAATGAGACTGGCAGAGAGCATCTGCTGTCACCAGTCCTTTAAAGAAAGAGGGTGGAGGTGGGGAGATGTTGGTTCCTGCTGGTAGTGAGCATCAGGCCTGGCTGGAGGCCCTTCTCGGAGGCTCTGGGGAAAGGATAGGGAGGGCCACAAAGTCTTGGGCTAAGAGGGCTAGTCTTCAAGGCTGATGGAAGGCAGGTTATAGGACTCCTTCCTGTAAAGTGGCAGGAAAACTTTTCCCTCCTCCTCCTCCTGGTTTTCGAGCCCCCACTCTCCATTCCCTTTGTCCAGATCCCATAGAATTGTAACTGGGAGAGGCCTTAGATAATAGTTTGTCTTTTCCTTTTATAATAAGGAAATGGAGAAGGAGAAAGGGAAGGTAAATTGCCCCATGGTCATACTGCTAGTGAGTGTCGGAAGATGGTTCCTTTCCATTTGGGCACTCCTCCTCTGATTACACTGTTCTTGGGCTGCAGGCTACATTTTATGTCACAATTCAGTACACACATACTGTAGAGACATAAGCAGTTTCTAAGACAAACTTCCTATACACTCTTTCTCTACATTGTTTGTATTCAAAAAGAATATTTTGTATTTTAGTGCTGGTTGTGACCTTTAAGCTGATTTCACGACTCACTCACTCATCAGTGACAGCCTGCAGTGTGAAAGTCAGTGAGCTAGATATCTTTGCTGGTTGGACTCAGGCATTTTCCTGGTACAATTCAACTTGCAGGATAAAGCAGCTAGGAAAATAGAAGCACCTCTCCTTCCCCCTCCCCAGCAAATGATGCCTATGAGACTAAGCGCATAGGAGACCAATGTAAAATACTTCCGGAGAGAAAGGTGCTTCTGCCGTGCGGTTGCACGGTTTGTTCACTGCACTTGGCCAAGGGCCCAGGTGAGCAGGATGAAAATCCTGCCTATACTCCATGCCGAGCCACATAGAAACATCTCCAACATTGTGGGGCCATTACAGACAGACATGGGAAAATTCTGGAAGCCCAGCATGCATGGGATTATTTTCAAGATCCCAGGTCTGTGGGGATTTTGCTTCCTGTGATTATGGACAGAGGTGTCCTAATAAGACCAGAGATGCACATTGTGAGAGGCAAAGGAAATGGCATGAATCACTAATTGTCTGCGTGTGTGTTTCCTCCAAGGGGCTTCTTTCGATCTCTGCTGTGGAAGAGATGCTCAACAGAAAGTGAGAGTCAGGTAAATCTGAGCAGGGTAAAGTCCTGTGGCTGGAGAGTGCAGGGGAAATGCAGAATTATCATCGTCCTTTCTGTTTTCTAGGAGGGCTTTTTCTGGAGGAGGCGGCCACTTTGGCTTCGGGACATGTACAGACCTCTCAATGCCACACGCAAGAAAAACATGGCACAGAAGCTGCATGACAGGGATTCTTCTGATGAGGATGAGATTTTCAACAAGGAACTAGGGTACCTGACTGACAATTCTTACCTCAAATGAGTAAATTATGAAAAGTTGAATTGTTCCTCTGCAGAGTAAAAGCCTTTGGTATTCTTTTCGCAGAGCGAGAAGTGAAGACCTGGCAGAGAAGCGTCAGTTCACAGATTCCACCGGTGAAGAGCTGGGTGACGAGAGCGACACTGTCCCCGAGATCGTCATTGAGTGAGCCCATCCTGCCTCAGGTCACCTACAAAGTTTATCTTCTGATATTGGCTTCTCAGCATTGCTTGTAAAAGACTTATTTTTCTCGTATTAAAATGTATAAATTCATAACCAATTCTAGCCATGTGGTAAGGAATTAAAATGGAACTAGTTAAACATGTCTATCCAGGGAACAGGGGCCACAGGCGTGAGGAGCAGGACTAAAGCTAGAATCCCTTGTGGGAGCCAGTATACTTCCACAAGAGCAGTGTGGGCAAAGGAGGATGGGTAGGGGCATCTTTCCCTCGTTTCCCTGATCAAATCAGTCTCTGGAAACTGGAAAACATATATTCAGGGGATGTAGACTCTTAAATCAATTAGCAGTTTATTCTGGTGCTCTCTCCCCTGGCTCACCAAGGACCAGCTATTCACAACACGCTTGACCTCCTGCCCAGAGAGGACCATCTATTTCTGGCCCCTCTCGTAAGGTCTTCGGCATTGCCAGAATATTTGGATCACTGAGCCTAGCTCCACTGTAGAGCTAAGCCCTGTCTTTCTTCCCAAGTGCTCAAACTCATGCACAAAATGTGTGCCCTGTCTTGGCAAGTAGAGGGCTCTTCACCCTTACAAGCCCGTGGATAATTCACATTGGGGTGTTTTGGGTTTGTTTTCTTAAAAAAAAAAAATCCCAACCCTTGGGTAGCTAGCAGGGAGGGAGGGGCTGAGGTCTAGGGTAAAGAAGAATGTGTGAGAGCAGTAATTACCCAAGACTGCCCTCCTCAGGCCTTTATTTCAGAAAACATACTGGTGGGGTCATTTACCCATTCGCATGCATGTACCGCCCTAGCCTCTCCTGACCCCACTGAGGGTCAGACGTGTGCGGCTTGGCTCTCGCCAGCGCAGCCCAGCGCCAAACCTACCACCACCTTCCTCACCCAACACAGATCATGGCTGCATGATTCCAAGGGATAATGTGGCGCAGTCTGCGGAAAAGGCAAAAATTCCTCCACTCCTGCGGCGCCTGGGTGGTTAGGTTGGTTAAACATTCAACTCTTGGTCTCAGCTCAGGTCATGACGGATGTCCATAAACATAATTGGTGCTCATCACTGGGGGGCTAGCGGTGGTGAATGTCGGGGGCGGGGGGATCACATCACTAGCTTTCAGGTTACAGCTGCTTTCCATAGATTCAAAGCTGCTGCCACCGCTCAACAGACTGCTGAGGTCACAGCAGCATCCCCCCCACAGTCCCAAGCCCGGTGACCAGTGGGGGAATATGGAGTCCAGCGTGCAGCCTGCGTGTCTGCTCTGCAGAGGAGGAGAGAGTGGCTTCCACCTTCCAGATTTCACACAGGTACATTTTATTGGCAGAACTCTGCTGTCAAGGGAATCTGTGAAATGTGGTTCATGGGCTTCTAGCACCTGCAAAGAAAGGGATAGAAGTGGGTGTCAAAAGCCAACCAACACTATCCAACAAATGGGTGGGTGTTCAAGTCTTTTTAAAAGGGGGGTGGTGTCTACAAGGAGTAACATGGTGGAGAGCTAGCTAAGTCAGAAACCTAGAAAGGTGTCATTCTAGCTGGGCAGCAGGTGAGGTACCAGATACTGGATACTGATGACATGCAGTCGTCCCCAGAGGTGACTGGAGAAGCACCGGGAGTTGATTCTTAGTTTGGTCTCTGGAGTGTTCTCACTGGAATGAGAGCTGGATGGACTATGGGCAATGAGGTATCTGAGGAAACACAGCCCTCATTCAAAAGGGCTGCCAGAGAAAAGGTATCCATAGGGAAACACAATTTCTCAAAATATGGTCTTTGAACCTCGAAACTCAAACATCCCTGAGATGCTTATTTAAAAGACTGATCCTGAAAAATAAACAGATTAATTAAATTTAAAAGGCTGATCCTGTGCATCTCCCCTGTTGAAAATAAACCAAACCAGACACCACTGAAAGTGGTCCAGACAGATCTCAGTCAGTAATAAAGGACTGCTGTAGTACATGGAATACGGGACTGCTGTAGTACAGGGAATACGGAACTGCTGTAGTACGGGGAATACGGGACTGCAGTACTACAGGGAATATGGGACTGCTGTAGTACAGGGAAAAGGGCTCAACGTGACCGGAACTTAACTGGGGCCAGTACAGAGGTGACTGGGTATTTCACAGGGAGACTGAGGGAATAGGGAAGGGAATGACTGGGGACTCTATAATCAGAAGTGAAAAACTACAAAAAGCAGGACGGTGGGTTGGCCCGTATGAAACCACCTGGGCTTGCTAACTGGCACTTATCAAAGTTAGGCTCTTACCCTCTCCCGGAAGCTGGGATACAAGGGCCCTATCCTCAGGTGTCCCTGGAATAAGCAGCAAATTCTTTAGACAGCCTTGAGCTTTTGAGGCAGGCACTTGAATGGAGGCTTGGGTTCTACTCGGGAGGCGGCCATGAGCTGCTTGAAACTATGTTAGTGTTTGTTCAAGTCTTCAAGGGCCAAGCAAGGCTGAATGAAGAAGAGGAGCCTGGCTAGCATTTAGAGAAAGAATCTGTCGCCCTCGAAACCCACATGCCCACCCCTCCTGAGCTGGTCTCCGAAAGAGAGGGACCATTCTAACAAGGCTATTTTTTAAGATTGATTGATTGATTGGTTGATTTGAGAGAGACAATGAGAGAGAGCATGAGAGGGGAGAGGGTCAGAGGGAGAAGCAGACTCCCTGCCAAGCAGGGAGCCCGATGCAGGACTCCATCCTGGGACTCCAGGATCATGACCTGAGCCGAAGGCAGTCGCTTAACCAACTGAGCCACCCAGGCGCCCCTCTAACAAGCCTTCTGATGCTCACCAAACTACTGCAGTAGGGCAAAGAGAGCCGGGAGGCGGTGGAGCAGAGGTTCTCTGGCTTCTTCAGGACTGGAGGTCAACAGGGATTGGAGGGTGGGAGAGGCAGGGCAGAGCCGACTGAAGAGGACCAGAAGGCACCACTGGATTCTTACCCTTGGAGTCCCGAAGGCTCACGCCGGCTGGCAGCCAGCCGCCCCCATGGAAGTCAGGGCCTCTCAGTCCTGGGGAGCGCCAGGCACGACCAGCTCTGGCTCCTGAGGTCCTAGTGGGGAGGAGATGTTGTTGAGACCTGGGGGATGGGGAGGGGAGCACACTCCTTCAAGAGTTAAAGTCCTGGAGGCCTGAAGCCGAAGTGGGAATGGGGCTTCAAGGCGGAGCTTTGTGTGTTCAAGGCTAGTGTTGGAGAAGGTTCGGCGCCCGCTGTGGAGGGTTCCAGCTTGCAGGGCCAAGGGAAATGAAGACCTCAACCTGTGAACAGCATAAAGACCTCACGTGGATGAGGGCGACACCCCAGAATGGTGGAGCCGTCAAATAGAAGGCGCCTGGCTCCCTGACATGCGAACCGCCAAACCAGCCCTGGACTACAGTCCTTAACCAGATGATTATATCAGAGATCAAGGAGCTGCTTTTTTATCTACCACACTGTTGTGTTGGGTCTCTACTGCGACTGAACCTATAGCCTAATGAAGGAGTGAGTACGTGCACTGGTTATCCTTCGCTACAACAATGCTAACTGATAAACCATCCCCAAACTCAGCGGACTGGAACACCGATTCTCGCAGGATGGCCGGTACAGCTGTACTCGAATGCTCTGCCGGCTGGGTCAGTGCTGCTTCTCACTGCTGGTCTGCAGATCGGCGGGGCTAGCTCTTTTCCACCTGTGTTGGTTCTGGGGCCCCAGCTGAAGAGGCTACCGGAAGGAAGCATAATAAGAGGCGAAGCAGAAACTTCATTGGACCTCTTCAAGCCCAGACACAGAACGATCACACTTTCATTTCTGCCCATTCCATGGGCCAAAGCAAGTCACATGGTCAAGCCCCGGGCCAGGGGACAGGAAGTACACTCTGCCCACAGGGAGACAAAGCAAGAGTGTGGCTGTAGGGAGAGCCAATAATCCTCTCTATCCTGGGATGGGACCGAGCCCTGGTTTAGAGGTTATGTACAAGGCCCCTCTCTTTTAGGTGTCCCCTGTAAATGGAGCAGAGGGAAAGATAGTCCATCAATGTGAAAGCCCCACCGCAGTTCTCTGTTAGGGCAGGAACCCTGACAAGGCAAGAATCACATCTCCTTCCTCTCCCCAATACCTAGTACCAGGCCCTGCCCGCAGCGATGACTCAGGAATCTTACTGGGTGGATTTTAAACCATTTCTTCACTCTCCACATATGATTTCCTTTTGAAATACAGACTGACCTCCTAAAGGTCAGCACATAGTGCTGAGTTTGCCCCAGAAGCTGCAAAGGGACTATGCCATTAGGAGCTGGGATTTGTACCTAGATCTGTCTACACTGAATCCTGTATCCACTGCTTCCCATAGGAACCTCCACAAGAAAGGGCTTCTACAAGTTAAACATCAAACCAGGGTAGTGAGGGGCACCTGGGTGGCTCAGCTGGTTCCGCGACCCACTCTTGGTTTTGGCTGAGGTCATGATCTCAAGGTCCTGGGATCAGCCTGTGTGGGGCTCCACACTCAGCGGGGAGTCTGCTTGAGGATTCTCTCACTCCCTCTGCCCCTCCCCTGCCCAAATAAATAAATCTTAAAAAAAAAAAAGGTAATGAAATTTCTTTCTCTTGAGGCCTTTTGAAACTAGAAAGATTCTCATTGCCTGAAATGTCCTAAGAGCGAGGCTGTCTAAAGGCACAGCCCTAGTCAGGGATCTGCATGGACTTCGGACAATTTGAAGAACAGTGAGATTCACCATCAGAGCCCCCAAGGCTCCACAAGGCCTCCGGCCCCTGTCATCGTCTCTTTTGTCAGCTTTCAGGGCAAAAGCAGAACCGGCCCCAGATGTTCTACCTTAATTGCTGCCTTTCCCCACATACTTTGCACTCCAAAGGAGTACCACTTGAAGAGGGCCAGGATTAACCCTAGAGAATGCCACCATCACCACCGAATTCCAGGCACGGGGCATGTGGGTGGAAAGTATATTTTAGGCCAGTGACTCATGCTAAGTTGCTTCCTCCCGTCCCTAAATGGGACTATTCAATGTCAAGCTATCTCAGGCTCAGGCTGACAAAAGCAGAGGGATAGGGAACCTAGTGTCGCTGTAAGCTGTAGGTCAGGATACATGAATATATACACTGCTTGTATAACTTGACCAAGTTCACAAAGACAAATATATCAGTCTCTGTTCTTTATGCTCCAAGTGAAAGAAATCCAACTAAAGTATGCTTGAACCAAAAATGGCATACAGTGGAGCAGCTCATATACCCGGGAAGCCTAAGTGCTTAAAGCTGGCTGCATCTAGGGCTCAAACAGCGTCATCCTTTCCCCATCTGTTCCTCAACTGTGCTTTCCTCTGGCTTCAGGCTCTGAAGGATGCAAGCCCCAAGGCTGCAAAGATGGTCATTAGTAATTCCAGCTCTACACCGATGTAGAGGAAAACCCATCCTCAAAATGCCTCTGGTTGGTCTGCTTGCACGCTACCTCTGGGAAGAGGAGATTTCTGATTGGCCAGCCGTGGTCACGTGCACACGCGAGGTCAGGCCTTAAACCAGTACTTAAGTTCGGTTAAAGCACAGGGACTGGGTTGAAAGTTAAGAGGGAGGTTGTCTTACCGCAAGACAAGGAGGCGAGGTGGCAAATGGAGGATGAGAGACTGAAGCTAGATTGAACAAACCCTTAAGCCTAAACTTGGAACAGGCTTTCACACATTCATAGATGCTATTGTGGTTAAGTAAAACACAAACTCACTTAGGAGCAGGAGTGCCTTCATGATAATTTGGGGGCCTTGTGTATTTTTTTTCCCAATTCGTAGCTACTAAACGTATAATTACTATCATGAGCAGGTCCCCAGACCATTCTGTTCTTTAATATTCGATAGGGATTCTTAACTGCGATGAGCTCCAGCAGAGAGAGAGAGTCAAGAAAGCAGGAAGAGAAGGGAGCCAGGAAAAGGCCAACCCAGGAAGCAGTGAGGGAAGGTTCCAGGGTGGCAGCTGTGGGACAGGTGGAGGAGGTAGCTGGAGGGCACGGGAAGGCTAAGTACCAGCCAGAGCACTGGAGGGGACCAGAGGAGTGCTAATGGCAAGTAGCACAGAAGGAGGAGAAGAACGGAAACGTTCTGGGGGTCAGGGATGGAAACGATCATAATCAGAGTACATGAGGAAGCTCGGCAGTGAACAATATTTACACAGTCACAATTCTGTAAACACTATCAGTTATCTTGAAAGAGTGACATAACTAAACCCCAAGAATGGACTGGGTTGTTAAAGAACTAACTTCTTGTCTGTGGTATTAGGAAGTCGGTAGACAGTGTCTAAAATGGATAAATCAAGAGCTAGAAGCGCAAGATAGGTGCGGATAAGCACCAGAAGATTCAGCTAGAAGTAACCAGCCCCGGTGAGCTGGCTCAGGAGGGTGGGGATGGGGGTGGGGGGGCGGCAAGAAAATGCTGTGGGTCATTAGGTTTCCTCACCATTTCATTTCATATTATTTAAACTGTAAACTATGTGTATAACAACATTTGGGGGTTTTTTAAATGCATTATTTTGTCAAAGCTTTATTTTTGTCCAGCTTTATTGAGGTATCATTGACAAATCAATAATTAAAAACCCTTTAAATCCATTTTTAAAAAGAGAGTGGGGAGAACCAGCATTCCTATAACAGAACCCAAGAGAACATTAGCGATTCCAGTTTTGAGAGAAAGGGCTGCATTCGTACTAGTTGGATGATTTCAGTCAGCTGCCAAGTAGGGATACATCTGGGGTTGAAACAAGAAAGGCTCTCAAAAAAAGAAAAGAAAAGAAAAAAGAAAGGCCCTCACTCCAGTCTCAGAGAGAAGTTAAAAACAGAGATCTGACTGGATTGGGAAGGGAGAATTAGCCCAAACTATAATAATATAGCCAGTCATCTTTTCTTTTTCTTTTTAAGATTTTATTCATCCAGGGGTGCCTAAGGATTCCTGGCTCCAAACCCCACTTGCTCCACCACCGAACTATGCCAGCCCTCCAACTAGAATTAGAGCTGGGTGAGAGTCCTCCCTCTACCATTTCTTAGTTGTGTGGCCAAGTTACTCAACTTCTCTCTTAAGCCTCCTTTCTTATCTGTGCTTTGGAGATAACAATGGCAACCTACCTTCCCAGTGGTTGATAAGGACAAATCACAATCTATTGGCGGTGAGGGCTGGGCACAGGAGAGGTGGTCAAGCCGAAATTCTTGGACCCCATCCCAGAGGGACTCTCCAGGGTAGGGGTGGGGTTCAGGAATCTACACGTTGGACCTGTCCCCAGGGAATTCAGACACCCTCAGTTCTCCTACCTGACTTTTTGCATAATTCTGCATAGTGCTTGAAATCTAAGCTGACAGACCAGTGGCCTGTAAGGGGCCTTTGGGAATGTTTCACCCCTTCCTGCACTGGCCTCCAACTGTGTCCATGCATCCTCCCTTTCCCCCTCACCCAATCTGTCTTTATCACCCCTCCTATCTGAACCTGAGCTCAGCCTGCATTCCTACTCACCAGCCATTTCTCTTCAGTCTCTTCACCTGCAATGTTCTTTCCTCTATCCACCTGGAAGGCTCAGATACAAGTTGCCTCCTCCAGGATAACCTTCAAGCCCTCTTCTCTGGCACCATGGCACTTTGCATGTGCCTTTATTACTGTTCAAATGACATGGTAGTGTGCGATTTTTTTCTGCCTGGAGACTACCTGGTGGACTCACGGCCCATGAATGGTGGAAGTGTACACCAGAGCAAGATGAAGAGAGGAAGACAAGCCCATAGACTTTGCAGAGGGGCCAAGAGGCATGGGAAGTAAGAGAAGATCATGAGATGGGGGCTCCTGAAAAGGCAGACAAGAGATTACTATGTGGGGGTTCCCACGGTTTTTGCAGACAGCGGCTGTGCAAAAATTCATTGGAAGAACTGAGGACTGTTGCTTGCTCCATTTAGGGGAGGGCATGCTTCTGTCAAGACACTGATGCTCTTGCTGTGCTAATGATAACGAGAAACACTATCCTTTTGCCTAGGAAACGGGATTTCCCTAGTAAATCCCTTACTTTCCACCTTGTTTAACACCAAGAGAATACTTTGCCTCTATGTCTTTATTTCTAACTTCCTCCTCAATGATTAACCATACTGAATGCATTCAGGCTCATCTAGTCTAAAACCAGGAAGAGGTGGTTCTCACTCCTGGAGAGAGAATTACTGAAGGGGCAGCCCCCACGCGCTCAAGTGCCACATCTCCAACAGCTGGTGTTATAAATGGAAACAGGCACTGGGACCTGGACCTTCCCAGAAAGGCCAGTGAAGCCCCTGACCCAGATCAGTGGAGCTTGCTTCCAAGAACTGTCCTGTTCCTAGACCAGCCCTGTAGATACTCCCTAAGTTCCCCTGGACCTGCAGGTAGCAATACCTCTCCACCCCAGCACTCACCCCACACTCAGGCCCTAAGCTCCCATTTGACCAAAGCCTTCAGGTGTGAAGTATCGGAAGCAAAGACATCCCCCCCAAAAACACACACTTTTGACCTTTTGTTCTGAGTTCATCTGAAAGAGAAATAGCAACTCTACCAAGGAAAGCAAACAAACAACTACCTGGCTGGATGAGAATAACCGGGCCCTTGATTTTCGCGCCTCCGGGCTGATGGGCAGGTTACGCGAGAAAGCCCAAGGGACCTAAAGGCGCTCCCCTGGTATAAGGTGTGGTCAAAACACGTATGCTTCTTCCCCAGAGCCGCAAGGCGGGAAGCACCACCTGCGCTGATGCCCTCAGGGAGGCAAAAACAGGGTAGGCTATTGGTCCGATTTTACAAGTGGGAGCCTTCCCCGCAGGAGGCCAAGAGACAGTCCCAATGTTACACAGGC